AAATGGAATATACAAGTCCACAAAACTTTTTATTTAAAATGGCTTGATAGATATATTTCTGGCACTCTCGTAACCACATAGCTTGATGGAATTAAATTGGACAAGTATATGGTGCCAAATTCAGACATCTTGCACAGATAGTCTTTTGTTCCTCATTTTTGTACTTTTCCCGTTCCTCACCAGGGAATTATAGAAGCGATTACATTGTTTTTGCTACACTTCTGCTCTGTAAACCTTTGTTCTGCAAATTGAATGTAAAGATTTAAAGGTGCATATGTTTATATTTATAAAATATATGGCTATGACTCTATTAAAAAGCTCAAGAATGGCAATAACAGAATACAGGCACTTCTATGTGAGGGTTACTTTAGACCTTATGAAACTCCAACATTAGTAAGCACTTCACTGATACCTGGATGAGTAAGTCAATGTAATAGTTAAGTTTTTTATTATCCACCGTTTTAATCCTGTCTAAGCAGATTAGTTTCTTGTACCCAAACAATATTTATTTAGCAAAGTGTTTCACAAAAGTGACTTTGCTGAAACTACCATTTTTCTGTAGCTCTAAGACCTTCTGTGATTGACTGGGCTTTGGAACAAACCCCAGATCCTAAACTATGTGCTGCACCAGTTACAAGTCAGGTTGTGAAGCTGACAAACGAAACGAGAACAAAGCAGGGTTTGAAAGCAGGGGTGGAGTTCATCTGATGAAGGACTCGGGAAAGGGGAGCACTACCCTAAGCGCATATAGTTCCACTGGGGTTTTATGCACAAAACCCCTGTAATTAATTTACACTTTTTTTTTTTAAATAAGAGTTTGTGAACATGTTCTCCATTCCTAAACACTGCATTTAAGCATAACTCCTGTCTGTCATTAATTTAATCACCAGTAAAACTTCAGCACCAAGTAGAAATCGTTAAGAGGAAATTTTTCCACAGTGAGGCTAATCAGCCATTGGAATAATCTCCCCAGGGAAGTGGTGGATTCCCCAACACTGGACACTTTTCAGATTCAGCTGGACAGGGTGCTGGGCCATCTTGTCTAGACCGTGCTTTTGCCAAGAGGGGTTGGACCAGATGGTCCTTGAGGTCCCTTCCAACCTGGTACTCCATGATTCTATGAAAAGACGATCGAAAACAAGACTTAAATTTTATAAAGCTCTTTCTCTACAGCACAGATTAAGCCAGACCTGCTACATCCAATATCCACATGACTTCTTCTTAGATTAAAATAATCTTTGGATTAAGAAAGCCATGGTTCAGGTGTTCTGTTTGGAAGCAGTCATACTGGCCAGGATAGGCGCGGCAGTAGGACAGCTGCTATCTCTTATTGCTACAAGGTAATGGAAGATAAGGTATCAGTACTTAAAAATATAATGCAAGAGGAACTTCTATAACTAATACCAGTGTCGCTTAAGACTTAGCATGATAATGGCCTATCTCATCACTTCATCATCTCATTATTAAAACTACTGAGCTACTTTCCACAACTGTGTCCAAGCTCACGGTCAGGTTTCATGTTTTTTCCTGATTAATCCAGTCTGGTCTCAGGTTTAGTCAAACAAGTCATGCCAGCCAAAGTAACAGCTGTTCTCATGGGAACATATTCCCTTAAGTTACTGCTAGATCAAGGAGCATATAGAACAAAGCAAAGTAGTTGTAAGTATCATAGATCTGTCTGTATGTGGGAATGAAAAATTAGTATTACTTCCTGCAGAGCACTTTACTGTTTTTAATTAGAAATGATATAATGTATATGTAGGATTTGGAGAAGTGATATAGGCAGTCTGCTATTTATTTTAATGTAGTTTGTTAAACACTTTACTTACAGAAGTGAGGCTATTCCAGATTCACAAAATCATGCCTTACAAATGCTAGTCTAAAATTTTCAAGAAGCCTCTGGGACATGGCCCAGCAGACCGGCACTTATTCAGTCACAGTTTGGTCTATCCTTGGTTCCCTCCCCTGTTATGAGACTCACTTTTTGTAGTCTTAAACACATCCCCCCCCCTTTTTTGTTTTATGGGGGACTGATCACATTTCCTTAGAAATAAAGATTTCTATTGATTTTAGTAATCCTGACTCAGTGATCTCGGGCCAAGGGAAATGGACTTTGAAGAATTTCCAAGAAGCCTATGCACTGCTTTTGCCCTCACGACAAAAAGTGATCAATACTTCTGGCCACACAGGAAATGCAAGTTTGAGTCATGATTTTTTTTTTTTAAACAGATGAGCAAGACTGGTTACAGGACTGGGTTTGGTGTCTAGAAAAATGTGAGAAGCTTAAATAAAATACTCCCCCCCAATTAGCATTTTAGCCAATCAATGCTGTTTCTATAATTAAAGTGAAGGTATTTTAAAATCTCTTCAGCTGTTTATTCATGCCTGTAATAAATGTTGCATTTACATCTTTGCACTGATTAATAGAACTGAAAAAAGCAGTACTGTGGCATAACTAGAAGATTTTGGTTTTTACATCTCATTGCCATCTCTGCTCACGAAAGGGAGCAGAGAGCATCTCTGCTCTCCTTACCCAGCTTTTTCTAGACAGGGTTGTGTTCTCAAGAAAATCTGTTTCTCAGTATTTTTTTTTTCCTCTGATGGAATTTGCAGACTTTAGCCATTAATCAAGGGTGTGTGGCCATAGAGCAGTCCTAGACAGAATGCTAATGTACATGTACAGACAAACTTTGCTGATGTATTCCATTTGTTGTGCCTATGCAGATCAACTGTATGCAGTGCATGCAGTAGGTCCACGCACATGAGTTTCTGCTTAGGAAATTCGGGCAGCTTTACTCAAGGCTAACAGAAAAGGCAACATCCACTTTTCAAGTCAAGGATTCTTTCCATGCCAATTTCTAAATCAACAAAAGAGGCAGAATATAAGCATGCAGGAAAAAAGAACAATGACATCAGTGAGAAAACAGTTTAAAATAGGTATTTAAGGTCCTTTTCTCACAGATAAGGGTAACAAAGTGATAGCTTTTTGCTACGGGAGCAAAATGGGCCCCTTATGTTATGCAGTAATACATAATGGATTAAGGAAGAATTGCATTTAATGCAGCTTCACTTCCAAACAGGCAGAAAATCACTTCATTATTGACTTAAGACGACAAATGCCATCGCAGGTGTCAGCCACCAAACACTTGTTCAGAACACATATGTATTTCTGTATGTTGTTTACAGAGAAGCATGTAAAGTACCACCTAGGGAAGAAGTGCAGCAGTCTAGCAGTACGGAAATAAGTTGTAGCGTCTCTAGAGCAGCTCAAAGCAAACACAGGATACGTATTCCACTTGCAGCACAAGGTTGGACCATGTTTGTATTCCATTCGTTTCTTTGGTACCCTTGTGGCAAAGTTCTACATAAATTTAACAAGAGGGGGAACAAAGATAATTTTATGGAAACTTAACAGTATGGAAATTACTTTTAACTAATAAATATTTCTGATGAGATGATGATGGGAAAACACAGAAAATTGACATTAAGTTCCACCACATCTTTTCATAAAGGCATGGAATGGCAAAGAGTGCTATCCTGGGTAGAAACAAAGAAATTTGTAGCATTCCATAGCATTCTCAATTCAAGCTGATTTTTTTTTGCCACTGAAAAGGATAACTGTAGCTTAGAATAAAAGGCCCAGTTCTGCTCGCACTGAAATCAGTCAAAGTCAGATGGAGGCAAGATCAGTCCCAGAGAGTGGTACACTGACAGCAGTAACAGCAGCAAAACAAGTATATGAATCGTTGATTTAAAAAAAAAAAACCACAACAAAAACCACAAAACAATCAAAACCAAGATACTTCCTATTGTAATTTCTGCCCTATTTTTACCTGCTTTATCACTGGCAGTAATCACACAAATATACTTGTTTTCCTTGGGAGTTAACTATTATTAGCAACACTACCCAATCTCTTAAGAGAAATGCAATGGCTGGGTAGAGGTTTGAAGCTAGCAGAAACCTGAAGATTGGGGTGAAATAAATACCATTTATTACAACATATTCCTTCTCATGTGACACAAACCCTCCGAGTCCTACAGTTCAAAATAACTTCCCCCTTTCCCCCCCACATACACACACTCCAAAGCCAAATCCCACCAAACAATTAAAAGAAATAAAACTGGTCTTAATAGCAACAAGAGTTGATGAAAAAAAAAATTATCTTTGTAGTAACCTACAATGAAATGATACCAGAACTTCCAGTTTTTCTAAGTAGGAGCCACTTGTCATATATTGTGGCTCTTTCTTCGCAGATGTTTGTAGCCATTACCACCTCTTGGAAGAAAGAGTTCAGATTAAATTCAACTCCAAGTCATACTCGTTCTGTGAAAAATTAGGGGATAGATCCTTCTTTCACCACTCTGGCCAATTCCCACTGACATCGGCTGGTCAATACTTAATTCACCCAAGCACTTAAACACTCATGCTTAAGGTTAAGCACGTGCTTGACTGGTTTGTGGTATCAGGAACCTAGTCGCAAGCATAGATCAAGCTCCAACAACTGTGCTTGAGTTCTCAGACATAATCTGTGTATTCAGAGACTTCATGGCAGGCTGTTTCAGGGGGAGAAAAAATCCTTCTTAGGCTACAGTAGAACCGGGGATAAGTAGAAAAACATTCAAAGTATTTGAACACAAATATCTGAAAAATTATCAAAGCAGTTGCTTCTGCACTGCTAGAATCATCATTTTGCCCCCAAGTCATAAATACAGGGTAAAAACACTATAAATAAATAGAGCAGCTCACTTTCCTTTAGAGAATGAACACATAAATAATACACATTTTGAAACAAAAAAATCATAGTGCAAAAATAAATTATCAAACAGAAGTTGTGAACATTATTTTACACAAAGCTATATAAAACCTGAACCATTTGGAATAAAAGACTTTGCAGTTCACTGAAATAATGCATTAACATTATTATTTCTGCTTCACATTAAACTGCACAGTTTATCCTTTATCCACTAAAAAATAAAAATAAAATAAATTAAAAAAACCCTTAAGCTCTTTAAAAGGTTTATGGCAAACAAGATCACTTTCTTCTGTCACATTTGTTATTAATTTAGCAGTGCAGTGATTGAATAATCATGAGTTCCAAATGGAAACTATTGAAGTATCCATAAACATCCCCTGCTCTTTATAACTCATTTTTTCTTTGAAATTCAGGCTTGAAAGATCCTGACACTCAAATCTGTAAGACATTATTGCAGTTAGATGAAGTTACAAGAGACAGTCTACAGTCAAGTACTGTGGGAGACTTCACAGCTCTCCTCACCATCACCGTGATCTTGTACGAGACATGAATGTAAGGACACGTCTGATGCCATTCAAGCGGTCTTTGAGGGATTTCATGGCAAGGAAAGGGAGCTGAGCTCTGTTCTCAAGTGGAAGGACAGCTAGGACCCACCAGCACCAGGCTGGCCCATTGGGGTTAGCCTGCAATAAGAGGGAAAAAAACCCCAGAAGTTAGGATACATATAGATGGTAAACTCCTGCTTTTGAATATTTACCCTTGAAAACACAGTATTTTGACTGCAATCTCACAATCAGGTCATTTCACTGCCAACCTAATAGCTTGTGAGTACAGGCTGGCTTGAAACAAGTCACAAACAAGTTGCACCTTTCCTAAAAATAGGATGTTGAAGGCAGAAGCAAGATTCATTTCTATTTATAGCAACAGTTTATAAGTTGGGCCTCTAGATTATTTTTAATGTATTCTCCTGTGTTATTACTGACCCAGTTCATTTGGATTCCTGCCTCCCTTCTTCATACCTTATGACACTATTTCATATTTAGTTTCTGTTGTTATACTGTTATTTTAGGATGCCTACCATTTGCAGTCCTTGAACAAGAACACAAAGTTTCCTCTTGTCTATCTTCTCTCTGTCATTTAATTGGGGAAACAGAGTAGGCAAAAGGCATTTAAGTCTCCTAGGATTAATACAGGCAGTTAAGTCGTCTCAGGAAGTTACCAGCATTAAATACGAGCTTTTGGGTTTTTTGTGCTACTGCTGGTGTATGGCAACAACTCAGATACCTAGCTTATGCAGGATAAATGAGGAGTATTCATATTTTCATCTTAAAACACAGCGCCTCCCAGCTTATCGGATATCCTTGCTATTTCTGTCTCTGAAAGTTACATAAGCCACTGATTCTGGATACCTGTGGGTCAGGATCCTTAGCTGGCATTGGACCAAAGTGACTGAGAATGCGACTTTTGAGTGCTTGCTTGAGGGAGTTAAACCACATATATGCCTGATCGTAGACAGAATCATGGAGAACAAGTAATGCAGCATATTCTTGTCCTTGCACCTGAAATGAGTAAAGAGAGGGGGAAGGGTACTGTTAGTTCAGTCTGCATACTGGGGAAGGCACAACGTTAGTTTCTAGGATTTTCTGGGATAGGTAGGGGAAAGGAGAAGAAAAGCATGCAAAGAGACTTCTGGGCTAAGTCCTGAAAGCTAGTTTGGTGTCCCCCATCTATCACATCCTTCACCACTTTCCTATCCTATATTCTAAACCACAAGATACCTATTTGCCTTTTTTTAACTATTATTAGCAGCTCTTCAGACTATACCTTTTAATCTTGAAGTTGCATACCAAAAGCTCATACATCACCCAGAACACTCGGACTGCCTACATGTATTTTTAGTTTTAATAAGAATGAGTGTAAGTAATTTTAAAGGTGTAGTGGACCTAAATCCTGCTCCTTCTTACCTGAATGAGGGTTTTCTAACTGGCTGCCATGCAGATGGGGGCAGGTTATCCCTCACCCCCTTATAAACTGCAGTTACTCTGTCTAGAGGAGCAGTAAGATCTCATTCTGGATTCACTTTGTTTTGTCTTCTGCTGAAAACCTCTAGGAAAAACACTCTTCAGTGTACGGGCAGCATGTGTTTCCCATCTTTACCCATGAGCAGTTAGTAAATACCACCCAGTTGTTTTACTAGAAACTGTTCTACAAGACAGACTCACAGAAAACATGTGTGCTTAGAATTTCACAAGTAATACAGTTTAAATGAAGTATTTCTAAATTTACCTTTTGATCCTCAATGTACTCAATATCGGCTGTATTATAGCCATCCCGCTGGCTGTGCTGTATCACCTTAAATCTCCTCTTGCCGATGCTGTCTACAACAGAGCGGCCATCAGCAAAGAATTCAACGTTTCTTATCTCCAGAATGCAGCCATAGTCTGCAAACCTATTGAAATGGGAACAAAAGCAAGTAAACAGGTCTTGTTCTCTCCACCCTTAGTCCCACAGAGCTGCCATACAGCCAGTCCCTACCACAAAGGTATTTACCCGTGTCAGCTCGTTTCTGTTGTTCATAGTACTGACCTGCTGTAGTTCAAATTATTCCACAATTGTTTTCAAAACTATCAGGAAGATTCAGGCTGTCTAATCTGATTAACACTAACTGCATGCTTTGGAATACAGGGAACATCTTACAAAATGGGAAGTGCCGTAGCTCAGAAGCACACTGCCTCCATCATCCTAGTAGTTCAATTTGTACAGAACACCACGCGCAGTTCTGCATGTTACAATTACGGAAGGACTGTGAAATCTATAAAGAAAAAGCGTTTCCCACAATTTCAGCAGATTTTACTTTGCAGGTGCGTATGTTGTGCACCTCATGCTTTTTGCAGTTTATACATCCCCTGTAGGTACACACCATAAAAGGAAGGGAGGGCAGCTAAATACAGAGGCAGACATTAAGGTCTAATTACCTAAGACTGACTATAAATGGCTCAATGTAAGCGCTCAGCCGGCCCTTACAAAGGTCCTGTTGTACCTCTGCGGCCTCCTCTATATTCAGAACAGTGAGGATATAAATGTATCCCAATAGCTTAGCTATTCTTTTCCTAATTTAAAAAAAAAAAACCCAAACCCACAAACACACCTTACTGCCATTTCATTTTGATTTCTTGTGCCAAAGCATTCAACAGGTTTCAAACCAGTAGGAAATAGCTTCCTTTTCACATATTACAAGAAGTCTGCAGCTCAATTTCCTGTAATACACACTAGATATGTGTGTTTCAAGAGAAACGGGCAGTCCTATTAGTCAGAACCTAACTTCTCAAGAGAGAAACTCCAGTTTTCTCAGTGTCTTTAACTGGCATGATCAGGAAGACGCTTTCTCTACTGGAAAAGGTATTACAGCCATGGACCTTTCTGTACCTCTCCAAAGAGACACGCTCCAGACTAAATGGGGCACATCACAGTCTGAGCACGCTGCTCACTCACCCCTTTACAGGGTCACTGATGCACATCCCAAATTGTTTGGTGCCAGTCTCCATGCACCTTCGAATCATCAGGCGGTAACACGGCTCAAAGATGTGCAAAGGGCATGGGACTGTAGGATAAGCCATTGTGCAGACAAATATAGGAACATTCTTATTCAGGCTGTAAGAAAGAAAGGACAAGTCAGATACAGCATTTTAACAAACTACTGACAAGGTAAAAAAATGTATTTTATGAAATAACATTATTTAAATGATGACAGCTTTAAATAAACACCATAACACCTTTAGAATAAAAGTCTTCATGCAGTATGTAAAGTCTAAAGTTATTTTTCCCCTTAACTGACTAGATATTATGGAAAGTGATATACCACTTACTAGAAGAATTTTAATTACGCTTTCTGGTTTTGCTAGTGAGAGCATTGATGCATCTCCATTATTACTTTTTTTTTTTTACTTTATTTCCCTTAATCCCACTTCTTCCTTACCCAGTAGGTTCCAACCCCCAAGCCTGTGAGACTACTTCCACCTACTGTCTCACTCTGGCTTCCATGGAGGGACACTGAAATCAACCACATTGCTTTACACTTTGTTCTAAAAACAGCCTTTTGGATTTCTTCTACTTTGGTTTACTGTTTAGCAGAGCGTCCAGTTTTTATGCTAACTCAAAGCACAATTTCACCTGGACCCTGTTCTCTCTGAAATCACGTGATAGGAGAAAGAAGCTCCTTTGTCAGCATCTTAGCTGGTGTTGCACAGCAGCAGGAGCCGCTCGGCAGCCTACGGCAGCAGTATCACAGAGAGGATTTTACATAAATGGAGTACGTACTTGGAAAGCTCTGCTATTTCCTCTTCATAAATCTTTCTTCTTTCGGTGAGTTCCTCTGGAAGGTATCTAGCTATTAACTCCTCCATTAGTACTGTTTTACAGTATTTCCTCATAGCCAAGCACTGCAGTAAAAACACACGCAAGCAGTTAACGTCTGCGTTTCAAAGCGCATGGTGCCTGCGCACAAGGTGCCTGCTAGCTCCCTTTCCTCATGCCTACAGCAAATCAAAAGTGATCTTTTAAGCTTGCGCTGCCACTGGAGAATTGTTTACTGAACCATTCCCTATGTTATGGGCATCATCTTGGGAAATCTGGGAAGTAAAATCACCTATGGATTTCCCAAGTGCAGGTCTGGCCCTAAGGTTTGAACAGGAGGCTATCCATGCTTTGTGAGTCACAAGAGCATTTTTGAAGTCACATTCTTCTTCAATTATGTAATGTTTCTTTTGAGTTGGGAAATATCAAAGGTTTCTGGAGGTGCTACTTGATCCTGTCCTGCGCCTCTGAACTTATGCTGAGAAAATCCAAGCGTCATTACCTCCGAGAGCCCTTCCTTGCACAGGGGACACTTTGGGTTGTGATCCAGGCATCTCTCAAGACATTTGAGACAGAAGGTGTGTCCACAGGGTGTAGTGACAGGTTCATAGAAGAGCCTGGATTGGAAAATCCAAAACCAAAAAGACAACAATATCGTGTACCAAAGTAAAAGAAAAAGCTGCTACCAAAAAAACCCCAACTGTATTAGTTCACTAATTTAACTACTGACTACTCCAGGGATCAAGCTGTTTCTTGCTTTCCATTTCTTCAGCCAACTTCTGTATTTATTCAGCTTACAGACTTTCTTATTGCCACCTATCGTGAAAGGCAGCCCATGAACTCTGATTTCAGGGAATGTGAGAATATTGTCATTAATTTCCAACAAGCCAGGATTTAATTTTCCTCTACGTGAGCGATAAACATAAGCAGAAGTTGGACCATCTGACTTTTTATAAAGAAATTGAGCAATACTTGCACAACTATTACTGTAAAATCATGTGATTACTTTTAAGTGTAGAGCTAAGCACAAAATAGCTATTTGTAGTAATAGCCCACATAAATGACTGCAATAAACTATTGCTTCCAAGTCTAATGTGGACTCGGAAAGCAGTTTTGTTGGAATAGACAGTTTTTAACCTTTTAATGACAGCTTTTCTGGAAAATGAGTGACATTAGGTTCATGTTTCTTCTAAAAAAATTTTCAAATACATAAGGCCAGGTCTTCAAAGTGTCATGGTATCTAATCTTTACCCATTTCAGGCACCTCTGTGACACTTTCATGTAAGGATTTTTTACTTAAGATTATGTGATACTGCAAAGTGACATTTCCTTCCCAATAAGTACCTTAAGGGGATGTAAATATGGATTTTTTTTTAAAACAGAAAACATTCGAAACTAGAATTTTTTTGACATATACTCTAGTTTATGACATACTGTCTAAGCATTTTAAGGTCTCAAATATTAATTCAGTTTGTAGCTAGATTAATTAATGTATTCTATATAAATTATTACAGTTTATCAAAACACTACACTAAGTTCTATTATACATGTGGAAATCACAAATATGTAAACCCAGGTTTATTAGCATCCAACAGGATGACTGTATTTAAGAATGCATTCAGCTCTGCTGAATGACTGAACAAGACTGCCATAGCCAGTTTATTAAATGTCATTAATCACTATTAAATATTGACATTTAAACAAGGGAACATACGAAGACGTACGGAAGATACCACACCTGTATTACTGCAACTCAACTGTGTAATTGTAAACCCTTGTTAATTGTTTCATGAACAGAAACCTCACTGCACCAAGGCTACCTTATTGCTTTAAACTACATAAAATACTGAATTCTACAATACCTTTAAGCACTGTTTTGCACATGTAATGATTTAGTAGTGACTTACTTGATGGGAAATGGTAGCATAAAGACAAGAAATTCCTGTTAAAATGCATGGTTCCGCTCTAGCTCTCAGGAGAACCAGCAGCAGCTTTTCCCTAACGATAAGGGGACCTGGGTGAAGCCTCCTGACTTGCAGAAAGAAATGCTATACACCAAGATTTCTCATGACAATCTTAAGCTATTGTAACAGCAGCAACTAACTACTGACTCCTGCTGAGTACTGCTCCTTCACTTCTCACCAGTGTGTTGCTCTGACTGTTACTTTGATTTCTGCTTGCTGCTGAAGCAAATGTAGATCAATAACATTTCGGCCACTCCATCAGACAAATAGGTTAATAACAGCTCCTGCAGTTAATTGTGAACAGGTCAGTAGGTTACTAGGTAATTAGTTCAGAGTACCTCAGGATCCAAATCCCCAAAATACTTCTGAAGAACATGGCAGGAAATAATTATGATCAATCTGCATTAATAGCAAGAACAAGAACTTGTGACGGCTTCCCTTAGCACAAGCCTTCATCATTGCAGTGATGTTACAAAGCTAACATCCTTCTAGATGCAAGGCGGGTATTTGTGATTACAAAATCAGCATCAGCATCCTCTGTACTGTAAGGGAACCAGCAACCCTTGAGCTAATTCCTTTACCCATGTATTGTAGTCTGGCTGTTTCTGATTTAACATAGAGGATGAGGAAGTAGAGCTAATTAATTTTATTAAAAACATCTGAAAAATGCTTTGTGGACATAATGATCATATACATGCAGAGTCATTCAAACCAGCTAAGACTAATTGTGTGGCTTTCTGTTAGAGGAAACTTTTGCTCTTAGCAGTATCAAGTGTTTTGACAGCTGTATAAACTCTGAGAGCACATTTCAGCTGTAGGCACACAGAGGGAGAGGGGGCAGGTTGCATTTATTCCAAGCAGAAGCCAAACACCGCAGTTGTTCCCCCCAAAGGTTTCAGTTTGTCCAAAATAAACTGAAGTCCCCCTGGTACATAAACAACAAAACACAGCCAATACGGATTTCTTAAAACACAGACCTTCAGAAATAAGTCCATGAAGAAGCTATCTGCTGTTTAAGAATTAAAGTATAATGCAAAACTAACCCCACGATGCATTATTGATTAATCTGGGTAATTAAAGACAAACCTAAGCAACGCTCACTGCAGAGGTCAATAACCCTGTGAAGCACCTTCCCAGTTTTTCCTTCTGAGCCAGTAACAAAATGCCACGTGTGCATTTGCCAAAGTTAAAATGCTTTTTAGAAAAGCAAGTAGTAAAATAGAGGTAGTTGGCAACTCCTACTGGTTTTATCTAGTCATTGCTGTCCCCAAGAACAGCTGCTGTTTAACTGGAAGAAGAGATCACCACGCAAATGGAGCAATGGCCTTAGCAAACTAAGGAACATGACTCCTAAGCAATGGAGGAAAAACATGCTCATTTGCTTGCAAGATCCTTCTATTGCAATAGCAGCAACACAGTACTTTATGTGGAAACTTGGAAGAAACATCGGATGTGGTCTCTTCAGCGATTCTGTGCATTATATAACATCACACGCTGCTCTACAAATTCCAAACTCTGGGTTTGTGCGCTATGTCGGTGGGTGGGCACATGTACGTGGTGGGAGGAAATATTTCAGACACCTTTGTTAACCAGCTCAACCCTCACGTGACCTTATCCAAACAATCACTGGCCTAGAGCAGAAAAAGTTCCCATTCATCAGGAGTGTGAAGAAACAAAGGCCTAGAAATGCACAAATGGAGTAACAATTCTACTGAAAACTAATTTCAAGTCAGGAGGGAAAAATAAGTACTAAGTGAGCTAGAAAATCTCTAGGTGATAAAAGGGAAAGAGATACAGGCTTAAAAACTAAAGACATCCATGAGAAAACAATGGATAATACCTCATACACAGGGAGCAGTCCAAATCTGACGGATCCACAAACTCAAAGGGAGTATGTTGTCCAGTACCATTTCCCTTAGCCTCAACTGTATCTATCAACAACAAAAAACATGTTATAATGTAATTGAACAGAACGATGGAAATGCCATGGTATTGCCTGTATCTGCCAATGGCATCCGATATTTAAATGTATTGTATGTACTTGCAAGTTACTGAACCATTAAGCTTCATTACAATAATTCCTATGCAAAGCATCAAATTCAGCCTTGGTACAAATCAGCACGCCTCCCCTTCATTTTGGTGACATTATACCCACTTACAGAGGGTTGAATTTAGCCTTGCATTAACAATTAACGTCAAAACATTTTTTATTAGTGTTGGAAATCCCAAGTGAGACAAATTCTTCTGTCATACCATTGTAAATACATCCTGCAGCATGAAAACAAGGCCAGATACCATGAACAAACAGAATTTGTGCTTTAAAAAAAGACCTTTCTTTTTAATTGATCCAGAAAGCGCTAAGAACATGCGCAGCACCGATGCTCCTTAAAAGATTCAGTGCTCTGCTGATAAACGAGCACTCACCCCAACCTTCTGAGCCCCCTTTCTAGGCTAATGCAATATATGTATGTGTATAAACACACATGTAATTTTTAACACACACAAAAGATTCCACATCATGCCCTGACTATGCTGAGGAGAAAAAAGCCAAAGTGTAATTTGGACCCTCTTGCCCTAAGTTTTACAAAAGCAAAACTTCCACTGATTACCTGCCATGGAACTTATCCTGTGTGTCATTAGACATACCTTTCTTCATCAGTTTGCAGGGTACCTCGGCATTTCGCATCTCCTCTGAGCAGCACTTCCTTTTCAGGAGGCTGCACTTCTCAGAAATCAGCAAGGCAGACTCTGGCACGGAGGTGAGTTTGTTCTCCTCCTCTGAGCAGTCCTTTTTGCTCTCTGCAACCTGTACAGCTTTCCTCAAACTACCAGAAGTAGTTACATTTGGTTCCTCTTGAATGGGAAAACCCTTTTTCTGTTCCACATTTACCTGCGTGAAGAGAGGACTGATGTTAGGCCAATCTTCCAACAACTGGGAAAGGAAAAACACCCAAAGGTGTCACAAGTCTTTAATATTATAGATCACCAGGGAGGACTTTGTAGGTCAAGAAGCAACAGTTTGAGAATTGCTGTCAGGGCCTGATTTTAACAGGGTGGGGAAAAAAAAAAGCAGCAAACTATTCCCACCCCAGCCCCATGATAACACAGTATTTTCAGCCCTTATATGTGGCTTTATAGCTTGTTGATGAGACGATTCAGGCAGAAGTGTGGCTAGATCTCAGGTTAAATATATTATCACTTAACCTATGAAAAAAAATGCCTTTTTTTGTATCACAGTGATGGCATCAAACACCAAAACAACCAAAACAATGCGAGTTCATTTTAAGGAAGCAGTATAAACAGACAAAGTTTAGAGAAAATGCACAGCGCTTCCTTTAGCCAGACAGATTTCTTTTGCAAAGGATAAAAGAGTCAGTCTTTGTCCCGTTACAGCTGTGGAACAACCTATGAGCAGCCATTACACAGGACATCACCTATCAGTTTGTCACATCAACTCCCCAGATGAACCTGAAAGCAGATACTGCGGACTGTGATCAGGAGCTGTGGCGATGGGTAACATGCAGAGAGATGAGTGAACTGTCCCTCAAATGACTTCATGGAAGGGTCATACAAAAAGATTTCTTGTCAGAATGTCCCTACAGCCTCTCCAGAAGGCAGTGTCACTGATTGTTCTTATCAGTCTCACCAAGGCTGCTCAAAGTCTACCATTTTTGTCTGTAGGGACCAGTGAAGTGCTCTCTTACATATACAGTAAATGCAAAACTATCCTCAAAGTTCGGGTTGGGGTGATGCGAAAGTGGTCCTTACAAACCCGTAAACACAAACCTTTACAAAGCTATGGCTGGGGAAGCAAACTTACGGAAGAGCCACTAATAACTTAGGTGGCTCTGCAATAACCTCTAAGCAGTGGACAGTATCTGAATGCAGGATGATCTTGACACTGACATCATCAGTTACAGTTCAAGCTGAAACCCTAGATTTTAGCATTTCACAGCTTTTGGGGGTATCTCAATACAATCTTCAGAGACCCTTTCCCACTACCAACTACTGGGAAGAGCTGAGACAGTTACAGGAATAGAACCCGCTACATTCTGGCCTAAGACTTACCAGAACAACAAGAGAGGACTTCTGTTAAGACAGATAAAGATACTGAAGTCAGTCAACATCATATTCTGTCTTCTGAAACTCAGTACAAACCTGGGCAAACATACCCGCCCTGTCTCCCAGAGGTGAAAAGGAGGGAAGGCTTCCCAATGTGATCATAAAACACACAACAAATTAAGAACCACACATCAGACTTGATCTTTACCTTGAGCAACCTTTGTAGGTTATGGCTGGTGCCTCCAGATCCCACTGAATTTAGGAGATTCCCCTTTAATCTAGAGTGATGTGACAACAGCTGCAGGATATCGGGTAAGTGTTCCTGAGCATTTCCCGGGATGAGTGAAAACAAACTAAGTAGAAGCTGTGATATAAAACAGAACACTTTACTGCTTAGTTCCTTCCTTGCAACCTCTAAATGAAAAAGCAAGTAAGGGAATAGCTGAAAGAAGCATTCTTGATTTTGTTAAAACCATTTAAAGAGCCCCCGAGGCTCAGGTAAGAACAAAAAGTGCAAGAGCTAATGCAATACAGGCCAAACAGCAGCAAGAGACATTTTCAGAGTTAAATAAGCCCATAAAGTTATTAACCATTCTCTGTGACATCACGCACACACGCCTTTGTCCTCTTTGTCCTGCAGTTCAGAGCTTACCCGAAATCACTATCTTTCTTAAATGTGTTTTTTCCTGCACATCAGAACCTTTCACTGGAGTTTACTAGTAGACAAAGCACTCATCTCACAGGCTTAATCCAAGTTCAGTTAAGTAAATGTGTCTGATATTGTAAACCGTAGCTATTTTTAATTCACTTATGGTGAGAGAATAAAAAAATGTAGGAAGTAGAAAAATGCTGTTTCTTCATTTGCTATCAGAAAGTAAGTGAATCCCTTTCCAGTAGCAGGTTGTAGCCACTTGTATGCCACAGCTTATCAGATGATTATTTAAGGAAAGAAACAGAGCTGAATGGAAGATTCACGCTTCAAAAATTAATTTAAACATACTACTGAGGTGATCCTGCTGATGCCTGAGGAAGCCACATGAGAGCCCAGATTTCTCTGCGAAGCCAAAAAGAATTCCACAGGACCACACTAGGACAAGTCTAACACTGACAAACAGTTAATACAAGCAGAACATAACAGCTGCATACGAAGAATTTGGTAAAACGCAGTATGTCATTGTTATGCAAACAGCCTTGGAAACAACCCAGTAGAATTGCATCATGGATGAACTCTGTGTCTGATGAGTGCATGAGTAATTCTTTCAGTCATAAGAAGCCTAGTTTTTCTCAGAACCCCACTGCTCAGAAATTAGGTGTCTTGGATAAGGTTATTTGGAGTCTGAATTTAGAAACATCACTGTTTGTTTCTGTTCTTACTCTAGTGCACAGGAAGTCTCCCAGCGTGACTATGAGAACAAATGATACAATGACAGTGAAAGTCTGCATGGAACCCGCTGGGGGAAAAAACACAACCCAACAAAACCCCCAAATATCAGTGGCAAAAAGCACAGGAGGTGGAAATCTCAACCACATACAAAAATCAGATAAAAATTTGATTGCACTACAGCCATCCAGGTTTTACTCTGTTACCTTCACGAGCAGTGCTTTACTGGAAGAACTCTACCGTGCTTTTACAAAGTCTTAGAGCACACAAAAACCCATGATTCCCATCCCACCCGTGATGGAGAAACATATGAATGCAGTGCCATGAAAGAAAAGTCAGCACAAGGAAAATAGAGACAGCTCTCACTGCGATGCTGAGCCTTTCAGCTACAACAACAAACCAATGGTCAAGTGTCAAAACACTGATTTGCAGGAAATCAGAGATTTGAGGGGTGTGCTAAAAAGAGCAGACTTCACAAAAGCCAGGTAGAATCCGCACACTATGTCTTAGGCTGCTACTGAAAAAAAGCCTCACCGCAGATCCATTTTGTTGCTTATTTAGCATTAATGATTAGCAACCTTTAAAAACTATTTTAAACCAGCTCTTCTTTTGCCACCTGCTTCCTTTCACGGCTCCCTCACACACTGACAGTGGCAGGACCGGCAGCAGGGAGAGAGCTGCTGCTCCCAAGCGGAGTTTGGCGGGTGCTGCGGGTTGCGTTCTGCCAGTCTGTGACCCGATACACCATCCAACAGCAGCTCCCCCTCCTCATCACTGTCCTTGGTGACACCCTGCCAAGCTAGGAAACAGATCAGAGATTTGGCTACAGGGAATCACAACAGTCTGTGGGTGGCAATTATTAACAATTCAGTTTTACTTCCAGTTTGCTGACGCTAACACCGTGAGTAGCCGTTTCCTCATAGTACCTGCCATGTATGTTGCCTCGCTACCCCCCCTACCTTCAAGTAAGCAATACAGATAACTCAAGTTTAGGAAACAGCCTGGATATGTCTCTCTCCATCCAGCTCTTTGCAGTAAAGAGAGAGAGGGGAAGAGAGAAGAAAGTCTTATCTTCCATTATGAAAGGCTACAGAAAACAGTGATTTAGGGAACTTACCTTTTGTGCCTCAGACTTGGCCATCTTGTTCCCAGTATCTAGAGCAAGGCAGAACAGAAACTCTCTTAAAGCTTCTTCTGTTTTCCCCAGATTAGCTAATGCTTGTCCTTTCCTCAGGTGACCCTGCAAGGAAACACATCCCATAGCTGCAGCTTTGGCTTTTCTGTCATGAGAATATGCAATAAAGCCAAGATGAAATTACCAAAGATCTTTCCAGATAAGAAAAAGTTAGGCAGGGAGAATTACTATAACTGCCTCTTATGCCTAGACACTAACAGTGTCTGGAGTTGTAACCAAACTGATCCTGAAAACTCTTACAGGCATTAGTGGGATATTCTCTACTCCAGCAAGTATGATGATCTCAAGTTGAGCACCTGAGCCCACCTGGTCTTAGACAAATCTACTTTCCCTGCATCACCCTCCTAAAATAGCCATTACGTCCTTACGGAACGATACAAGCACAACACACTCAATTTTTAGAGAGTTCATGAACTTGAGATTCATCCAGGTCAAAGACAATAGTGTTAGCTCATCCTCAGGATTATCACTCTCTTCCTCCCACCCCAGGAAGCTCAAGAGTATCATGGTTAAATGTCTGTAAGTCACAGAACTCAAGGCCCCCTCGCTGAGCCGTCTGACCACCCTAATGGGGTGCTACCAGGGCAGTATCAAAGTTTGAAAACAAAGTACCGCTGGCGTCAGAACTTACCTTCAGCCAGTACGGCTGCAGCCTGCACGCTGTTTCCGCATCGTGCAATGCGTCCTCACAAGCTTTCAAGGTGGAGTTAATCTGGGACCGGTTGCTGTAGAGTAAATGGTCATTTGGAGCTGTGGGAAATAGAAAAATTGGTTGACTGAAGTAAATTAAAAATCACTTACATAAGCTTTAGTCATTTACTTTTTTAAAACCACATGTTGGTGCTTCCAAGATGTATACACCCACAAAATATCCTGTCTCGGAATAAGTATATATTAACCGAAATCTGGAAACCTCTTTGGGCAACTCCAGACAAAATGTCAGCTCGGCATTATATAACTGCGTGGAACGCTGCATAAATAAACGCCGCGACGCTCGCACCGAAAGTTACAGCTCTGACTGGAGCAGACGGGTGGTAGAAACTTAGAGGAGACAAGGAAGGCGGCAGGAGGAACGCTGCAGTACTGCAGGGAGGAGTTTCAGCATTCGGAGTATCCAAGTTTCCAAGTGGCACACAAGGATCTTTTTTCACGCACAGGCAAGGAAGGGGCAGCCACCAGAAGCGGGTAACGCCGCAGGGACGGG